TAGATAGATAGATAGATAGATAGATAGATAGATAGATAGATAGATAGATAGATAGATGCTTATAGCAGAGAACCCAAGTAATGCTTTCCAGTATGAACCTCGGGTTGGAGGTGTGTATTTTCAGTAAACTGAACCTTTTCTGAAAAACTCCATGAGATAGGTTCAGAATGATGGATAGCTTTTTTACATTGATGTATTCGGTTTGTGTTTGTTTAAGTTTGTTTGAGTAGGTACACTCATGTCCTGGTAGACACGCATGTGGACATCAGAGGACTCCCTGCAGGAGTCTGTCTTCTTCAACCATGTGGATTCTGGGGGCCAACTCAGCTCATCAGGTCTCTATCTGCAGAACCATCTTACCTGGCCCTCAGTTTGATCTTGATTTTCAGGGAGTGCTGAAACACCTGTGCCATCTGATTGTCTCTGCTCACCCAGTGATTGAGTAACTAAGTGGTAGTCTTAATGGCTGAAAGTCCCAAAGAAAACTAAAGGGCCAAGAGGAGGGAAGGGAGACCTTGAAGGGCTGGAGAGAGCTTAATCATTAGAATCCCTGTGTTCTACAGTGAGTTCTAATAATGACCTTGGATGTAACTCTAAAAAGTCAATTAAACAACAGAATTTAGAAATCCTTTCTTTTTCTATGACCTCGGTCATACGCAGTGACTCATTTAGAAATCCTAAGCATCCATTGCTCAGTAAAATTATACCTATGCAATTTTGGAAAGGGCTTTAAATTTTAAATAAAATATCTGCCTTATTGAAATCTGATATATATTTTTGATGTCTCCTATTTTTTTTTAATACTAGATTGTTTCTCTCTTTTAAATTTTCTAAAGAAGTCATCTTAGTTTTTGTAAAATAGAATTTTACTATAGTATGGGATCTTAGAATGCATCGTCTATCCTTTCTTCCTCCCCAAATCCCAGAGAAGAGAAATGGAGCTCTCAAGAGCCTGGCCTTATAATGACAAGGAAGGGGCAGCTTAGGTCTGGGTCCCCAGGTTACCTGTGCTGCATCAGATTAGCTTGTGATCAAAGCCCTTAATTCTTTATCTCACTTCTGATCTTAGGAGGTGACACAAGCCAACCATTGTTCAGCTTCTTTATCTTTTGTAGTCCCAATTAACGCTCACTGAGACGGTTTGTAAAGACTAAGCTTCACTACTGACCCTCTGCCGAAGTAAGAGAAAAGCATTTTAACGGCGAGGTTTGAGATTTGAGCATTCAGCGTTTCTAATTCTATGCTGTCTATGACAAACTTCTAGCAGCTACTTAGCTCTTGTGAATCATGTTATAGTTTCAAAATACCTTTCTATCAATAGCAACTTTGTAGCATGAATCAGGCTAGTTTTGTTATTTCCTCCTCCTTAAAACAGCTATCCTGGTCACAGAGGGTGATTGCAGGAGTCTCGAGAACCACTGACCTACATGGTGCAAGCCAAAAATTTTACATGAAGGGTGGGGCCGATATTACCTGGGAAATTCCTAGTCACAAAAGACAAGATTAGAATGCTAGCGGCAGGGCACTTTGGAGAATGCAGAGAACTCGTTCACTGGTGGCACAGTCCACAGTAGACTTTACCATTCCAGCTCATCCCTAGTTCTAGTGGAGTCTGGTCCCTAGTAGAGTCTGGAGGACTTTACTTTGGCCTGAAAATCTGATAGAAAGTAGAAGCAGAAAGTCTATTGACATGGCCCCAGTTGCCATCCTACCGACCCTAACTTGAAGGAGAAAATGGCGAATTCTTATGGGAATGCACAGGCGCACTTTCAACTGACAGCACGCCAACTCTGAGCTGTTCTCAGCCCTGTGGACAAGAGTGGACACCTCTGAATGTGCCTTTTGGTGAAAGGATTCTGAGCACGAACCCGGAGGCAGTTCCAAACCTGGAATAAGAATAAGGCTTTCCTTTGGCATGCCTCAAATAGAAAAGCTCTTTGACTCACAACCTTTGAGTCTGAGTCACTCTCCAGTCTTTTCTTTGTCCTGTGAAGGCAATTTAAGCATCAAGACATAACCAGGCTTTTTGATTCTCAGTTTCTCTCCTCAGCAACCTCCAAACTCAAACCCCCACACCAGGAACAGTAAGTTTTTCTTAAGAAATTGGTTTCAAAGAAAGAGAACTTTGACTGGCTCTTTGGCCTCCCCACCCCCCAAGGGAGGAGCAGTCCTGTTAGGCCACAGAAGAGAGCTTTGCAGCCAGTCCTGAAGATACCTGATAAAACAGGATCAGATGAATGGGGAGGAGGTCCCCCCTATCAGTGGACTTGGCAAGGGGCACGGTGGAGATGAGGGAGGGAGGGAGGGACTGGGAGGGAATGAGGGATCGGGACACGGCTGGGATACAGAGTTAATAAAATGTAACTGATAAGAAAAAATAAAATTAAAAAAAGTTATGATAGTGAAAAAAAAAGAAAGAGAACTTTATATAAGCAGGTTTATGGTGATTTGAGGGCTTGGAAGAGTCACTAGCTATTCCCATCAGTTCTTGCCTCAAAGTTGTCTCTGCCCTAGGACACACTGCCTGCCAACTGGCCCTGCACATCTTACTGCTTTCCTCTTTCCTCCTCCTCCTCCTCCCAAGTTAAAATGCTGATTTACCAATAGCGTTAGGGGAATTCAGAAATGAAACCTCACAGAAGCTCTGACCCTTCACTACCACAGACACACTGAAGCTGTATCTTCTTGAGCTTAATTTTTAAAGACATAAAGTGTTATGTTGGGCTGGTCCACCTTTAGGCCACCCTGCTCATCTTTCCTAAATCGCTTTGGTATTTTAAAGGCCTTCTGAAAGTGTACAGCGACACCTGATAGGAATTCTGGCTTACCTCAGCTAACACATCCCTTGATCTGTCCAATGATGTCCTCTTTTCAAAGCCCTGCCTGATGGATCTTGGTCTGTAATACTGTAACTCTATTCACTTAAAATTCCCACATTCACATTTTCAAACCGTTCACAGCTGTAGCAGAAACCCCTTCATTATCTTATGTGACCCTTATCCCAAGCCACCTCCCTTTCCTGTCCCCACACAATTACAGATCTCCATGGTATCAGATGAAGAGTACAATTAATCTCCATCACTTTAGGCTTTTGGGCCCATTTTTATAGTACAGACTTCAAGATGAGAAGTCAATGGGGACCTTTTCTCTGCTCAAAGGATTCAGAAACCACAGGGTTTAAAATTATTTGTACCAATATTTATTCCTGTTATTTGAGCATTCCAGGTTCACTATACGGTTCAGAGGGAATCAACCAAGGGCAGCAGAAGAGAGATAGATAGCAATGGACAACTCATTTAGAAAGGGCTGTTAAATGACCATAGGGAAACAGTAGAAAGTACTCACTCGCTATGCCAGGGAATATTTGCGCATGATTCAGGGAAGTAAAGCTAAAAACAAGACCGGTCTGGTTAACTGGAGCTTTTGGTTGTGGGGGAGGTGGAAATACTTCCGCCGCTAAGACACTCATCCCTTGCCACCCTCTGCATCTTTAGCACGCAGTAGCTGCCAAAGAGTATTTGTGTAATAAATGGAACACCTGCCAAACTATCCAATGTTTTCAAACAAACTCTAAAATTTGGGGACAATCACTTCTGTGCATGCAGGCCCCATCTATTGCAAGCTCTGAGAGAGAGAGAAATGGCTTGACTTGAAGCCAAGCACGGGGCTTCAATTGGTCATAGTTCATTTGGTCGCTTAGTGCAAAAGCGGGACGAGGAACAAGCGTCTTGGAGATAGAGGATCACCCTCCAGGCCTGACTTCCACAGTATTGTGTGACACACTTCAGCCCAACTTCTCCCGTCTCCATCTGTGGACCCGAGGTCAGCTTAGTGTTAGCCAGGAGCAATTCTGTGGTTTTGACAGGGATTCCTCTCTGGGGCGCCGCGTCTCCCTTCCTCCCTCGCCTGCACCTGCCTTACTGCTGCCCCTTTCGTCTCTGCGAAGATGCAGAGGTCAAAGCACGTTCCTGTGCGGTGATGAAAAGCTCTCGGAATCGGCCTCTCGGCCCGCAGCATACCCTCCAGGACCCAGGGAGTGCCTCTAGGATTCCCGCGGGCATGCTCTTAGATTCCCCCAACTCCTCGGCCGCTTCTCCGGCTCTTCCCTGGTTCGTGTCTGACACTTAAGAAGCATCTTGGGGGGGGGGGGGTAGCCGCGGTCCTCTGCCTCCCGGGACAACAGCATCGCCCTCAGGAAAGGGGGTCAGAGGCAGGAAGGGGAGTGGGGGCTGGGGGCGGGGGGCGTGAGGGCTCGCCGGCTTCAGCAGCAGCTGCTGCAGCAGCGGGCAGAGGGGTGGAGGGTGCTGAGCAGGGCTGGAGCTGGGGCCAGGAGGGAGGAAAGAGGGGGGCGGGAGGCTGTGCCTGCCTAGCCGGAGGGGTGCTCCGCGCTTCCCCGCCCTCCTTCCGGGAGCGAGGATGCAGACTCTAGAACTGGCGCTGCTGCTGGGCTGAGGCGGAGGCAGGGGAATTGCAACCCGCGCGGCTCGGCGAGTGTGTCTCCTGCGCGCCGAGAGGCGGGGGGAGGCGGAGGACCGGGCGGCGGAGGAGGAGGAGGGGGAGAATGCCCGGAGCCGCCGCCGCCGCTGCCGCGATGCTCCCGGCTCAGGAGGCTGCCAAGCTGTACCACACCAACTATGTGCGGAACTCGCGGGCCATCGGCGTGCTGTGGGCCATCTTCACCATCTGCTTTGCCATCGTCAACGTGGTGTGCTTCATCCAGCCCTACTGGATCGGGGACGGCGTGGACACCCCTCAAGCCGGCTATTTCGGGCTCTTCCACTACTGCATCGGCAACGGCTTCTCCCGGGAGCTGACTTGCAGGGGCAGCTTCACGGACTTCTCCACGCTGCCCTCGGGCGCCTTCAAAGCCGCCTCCTTCTTCATCGGCCTCTCCATGATGCTCATCATCGCCTGCATCGTTTGCTTTACCCTCTTCTTCTTCTGCAACACGGCCACCGTGTACAAGATCTGTGCTTGGATGCAGCTCACCTCCGGTGAGTGCGCGCTCACCTCCGCAGAGGCTGGGGACCCCTGGGTGTCGGAGCTTGGGAGGGGCTGGAGTGGGAGGGACCGCTTCCTGAGCTCTGCCGGTCCCGGACAAGTTAAGCCTTTCTCGTGCCTGAGGCTGGAAGGAGGAACCCCGGGGCTTCCTCAACCTTGGCGCTTGCAGCAGGTCCGCAGGCTTTTTTGGAACCTCCTGGATGCTAGGAATGCCACCCAGGGGGACCCCCTGGAGGCTGAGCAGAGTCCGCTCAGAACTAAAGATGGGAGGTGGGGGAGCGGAGAAGTGGCCGCTTAGAGGCAGAGCCGTGTGTGTGTGTGTGTGTGTGTGTGTGTGTGTGTGTGTGTGTGTGTGTGTGTGTGTGTGTGCGTCCGCGCGCTGAGGGAGTAAGGAGGCTGGTACAAGCGCGTGAAACGCGGATTTAGAGACGCTGTAGACGGAGCAAGCCAACCTGTTCTGCCCTTCCCTGGGATTATTTCTGTCTTTGCTTCGGGGTGTGTGTGTGTGTGTGTGTGTGTGTGTGTGTGTGTGTGTGTGTGTGTGTGTGTGTGTGTGTGAGTGAAGAGGGCGTGTAAATTTGTTTTGGGCAACCATAAATATTTTATCATCCATCTGGTGATGAGTAAATTCCTATTTTTGCTTAGACATTGCCCCCCTCCCCCAGTTTTTGTAAAAGAAAAAGAAAATGTACCTTAGAGTGAGTATTCCTCAGCAGTTCCCCAATGCCACACCTCCACAGTCTCCTGTCAGCCAAGGTCCTTCCATTTCATCTCTACAGAGGGGTCTTGAGGGGATCGGGATTTCTCAAGGTCTCATTTTGGGGAAGTGGTGTTGGAAAGTGGGTAAAGAGAAAGCCGGTTTCATTAGCACTGGTGAGTGATATGAAAGGAGCGTCCCGTCCCCCCACCCCCACCCTCCCACCACCCCCAGGCTGCCGCCAGCATCAAAGTTACTTTCCAAGAAAGAATGAGGAGTGCATTTTCCGGTGGCTCTGAAGAGTCCTGAAACAAAACCAGACCTCACTGCACTTTGCCATCCTTTCTTTCACCTCGACTGCCCGCCTCCTCTTCTAAAGTCCACCCAAGGGTCCTTGGCTTCCTGACACATTGATGATGTCCTTTGGATTGGAGGGTAGGGGGACTCTTCAATGTCTCTGGCAGCTAAACGCCTTCACTTGTGTTTTGTTATTATCATTATTTAGGTGTCTTAGTTTTAAGGTATTGTTTAGTCTATCTTTTGAAGGCTTCCAGGAGAGGCGGGATTTAATCTCGAATTTATCAGAATATGTAAGATGAGTAAACACTTAAAGACGCTGGGCCATGCAAAGACTCATGTTATTTTGTGGGACTGGGTTCCTCTGTGTGGCCAAGGCTGGCCTCAAACTCCTTCTAGTGCTGGGATCCCAGGCACAATCTGTGTATCTGGAAAGGGTCTTGATCTTGTCAGCTTCATGTAAAAAGGAGTAAAGTGTATGTGCACTCAACGTGTGTTAGAGTGTTTGTTTCACATCTGTCTTGCTGATTGTGACTTATTGTGAAAGTATGCGTGTGAAAAGCAGGAATGTGCATACTGTCACCCTCCTGAACGTAAAACTTGAATAAATTCCGTGCACTGCGTCTTTTCACTCTTACTGATTTTATTGGTGTTTCAGGAACAGCATAACTGTGACTTACATCCCAGCAGACTCGCAGGTTATGCTTCTTTATGACACTTTCCCCTGGTTTGACTTTGGAGAGAACAGGACAAACAGGATGTAAATGTTTCGGGAAAAGACTTGACCCTATGCTGCTAATTTTAATTCTTCTAAGTTAAATGACCTATTTAGACTGGTGATTCAAATTAGATTATTTTTTTTTAAGGTCTGAGAATAGTTTGTGGGGACTTCTCCAAAAAAAACACACACAGGTAAATGTTTTATTACGATGAGGTGTTACAACCTAAAACTGTATTTTAAATAAAAATAAAAAATTATTGTTTGGGGGAAATGATTGACTTTGAAGTTGGCATAAACTTCAGATATTACAATGTAGCCTTTTCCCTTTCCTGCAGTAGAGCACACAGAACAGAGTAAACTATGGAGCAAAATATAGGAAACATGATGTCACGTATCCAGACACTTGACATATATGTACTATTTTGATTTCCATCCTATTAAAATGTGATGATATACTGCAGTACATATGAGGGCATTCTCTTCATCCAGAGAATTAGAGATCCCTACCTACTATATTTCAAGAAGCCTTTCTTGTTATTTTACTTCTAGTTTCAGTTGTTAATTAACTATATTAATAAAATGATGAATTATAACAAGAGATCGATTAAGAATCAAGTCAATTACATTTACAAGCTGTGAAAAAATGAGAGCCAGAAGATCTTTGTGAAGAATGCTATATTTTAGATGTTTTTTTTTTTTTTTTTATATTTGGGGATGCAAAAAGATGGCATGGTGCATAACGTACTAAACATCCTTTGAAAGTGCTGAAGTTTGGATGTCTCCTTTTTAGGTCTCTTTAATGTTACATAAACCTTTCATGTTTATAGTTTAGCTACCCAGAATAATCTTAAGGGAAATCTTCTAAATATGAAAGGTGAGATTTAACGTAGCATTTTATTATTGGATACTCTTTAATCTTAATCTGAAGGTAAGTAACTAACTTGTATGTGTGGTTATCTAAGCATTTTAATATGACCGCATCATAAGTCAGGCACGGTATCAAATTCCGTATGAAGTGATGCATTAGGACGATGAATGTAGACTGTTTTGCAGCGATATGTTGTTAAGAACCTTCTAAGGAGCCCCCTGACACAGTGATGCACACTATTAACTCCAGCACTCAGGAGGCAGAGGCAGGTGGATCTGTGGGTTTGAGACTACATAGTGAGTTCCAGGACAGCCAGTGTTTTGAAGAGAGACCCTGTCTCAAAACAAAACAAAACACCAAAACCAAACAAACAAGCCAAGCCAAACAATAAGGAAGAAGAAGAAGAACAACAACAACAACAACAACAACAAAAACTTTTTAATGGTTCTTGACAGGGAACTAGAAATATATTTAATTTATTGGGTCTGAAAATTATCTTACTCACCTGTCCGTGTATGTGATGCACAAATCAGTAACATGAAAACCCTGTGCTTTTCCACATCCCTCTAGATTCTTGCCAGTCACAAGCCAGAGACTAGGAAATGCAGAATTAGGAACTAATATGTCCCTCTGCCTTTGGGAGTAATCTTATTTATGGAGTGTACCTCATATAGAGTCTGAGGACATAAAATTATGCACGAGATAAGTAATGACAATCGTAGATGCAACCTTTCCCCATATCTTCAGACAGAAAACTCTTTAAAAGGAGAAGAGACACTTTTTTTTTTCCTCTTTGTGATTTCTGTAATACTGAATGGGGGAAAAGCATCTGTAACTGTCAAGCGAGATGATAAAGTCTCATTTCTTCCTTAAATCAACATGGAGGGGAATGTTGCTCCTCAGGAACGCCATTCTCCATTTCGGTCTCTCTAAGATAGAGAGAACTATGTTTCAGTGTTTTTCTAAGTTCAGTAACAGGCACATTTTACAGAGATGTTTTGTTCGATTGTTGCACTGACTGTAGAGCTTATCTCCAATTGTTTCTAGAAGCTTATATGGCCAAGAGGATATTTTCTTTTCCATCAACTAAGATATGGTAAATTTTAAGGCTTTGCCTCTGCTGTAGACTTCTCAGTTGAAGACAGCTGACATTTCTGGGAGGTGGAGGGATCTCACCCAGGTTGGATTCTCTTCTTCAGGAGGTCTGAGAACAGCCACCTGGGTCGGCCATCATTCCTAGTGTGTCAGGAGGAAGCATCACCATCAACAGGGAGGCTGCGTAGTGAGACCTAAGTGCTGGGCTGCTCTTGGTTAGCGCCTCCCGGTTCTCCACCTTAGTTCCCTCAAAGGTGTTTTTAGCCAGCTTACTTTCTTCGATTTTTCTCCTGGGTGTGACAAGAGTCACCAAAGGTCATGACTATCATTCTGAGTCCTTATGAGCAGAGCCTTTGCAGGGTGTCTTGCCCTTCATCATGCCGACACCCTATTCCTTTTCTGTAGCTCTGGCCAGCTTTTGACATTACAGGTTGCTCATGTGTTTATTCCCTGTTTGTCTTCCCTGGAACATTGAAAGTCAGACCTTGCTTTTTTTTTCTTTAGATGATACAGAGATCAAGAACACACGTGTGGGGCTGGAGAGATGGCTCGGAGGTTAAGAGCACTGGCTGCTCTTCCAGAGGTCCTGAGTTCAATTCCCGGCTCCCAACCATCTATTATGAGATCTGCCGCCCTCTTCTGGTGTTCTAGCACACGATTGTATACATAATAAACAAATAAATCTTAAAAAAGAAAGAAAAGAGAGAGGCTGGCAATTAAAAAAAAAGGACACACATGTGCACTGGGATTGAAAGATGCACATCACAGCACAGTTCTAGCACTTATTTTATTTTATTTTTTATTTTAGCCAGTAGGCTTCTTTCTATGCCTCAGTTGCTCACCTGAACATAGTTGCCTTGGGAAATTGATTGCAATTAAATGAACTAATGTATATAATCAGTATCTGGCTCGTGGAAAAAAACGAAACGAAGCCAAAGCAACCCTCTGTGGCTATTAGGAGTGAAAGGGTAGTATCATAGAAATGGCACATGTTATATGTTCAATAGGTTTCTTTTGAGTTAATTGGTGAAGAGGAAAATGATTATTGAATTGGAGAGAGAAGAAAGGAGTGTTAGATTTCTAATGGGCTGTAATGGGAAGGAAATAACTGTGAGAGCCAAGCTATTTGTTCATCTTTCTCTGTGACCTCAGCAGCAAGTTCACTGAAGGAACACCTTTCTGTTCTTTAATGACTATGGTTGTGACTCGGTGGCCCATATTTTGATGAGATTTTCCCACATGGAGGGTTCTCTGATGTTCAGGTAATGATCTTTATTTCAACAGCAGGAAGCAATCAATCATATCGCAGTCTTCA